CTCAGCTGTCTTCCCATTGGCATATATTCAGACAAACTTTTGGAAACAGACTGTCCACTGGAGAAAGGCTTTTAATGTCTGGCAGTGTGGTTGTACTTTTAAGTTTTCTTTTAATATGCTTTCAAAATATTTTATATTGTTTTAATTTAGTGGTTGTTTTAATAAAATGCAATTAATTGTTTAAATATTGTAAAAGCATAATATTATATGCTCTTTATCATTTTGTTACCCAGCTTGAGTCCCTGTAATAGAACAAAGGCAAAAAATAAAACAGTTTTTGGCCAAAATACTGTGCTTACCATAGTAAATTGCACTAGATCCATTGAATCAATAGGGATTTGGCAGGTACACTCCTCCATAATAAATTCATTGTTTCAAATACTCCTAATTAAGCGATAGGATTTTGGCCAACAGTTTGATGGATAAGCATGCAAGTGTCACACACGCAGTTGTTTCAAGATTCTGCTTTTATCCCATAAATATCTAAGTCTGACATGTTCCAGATGTGTTAGACTGCAACTCCCACCATGCAAGAGTCATAATCTCTCACCAACATGGATAACAAGAGTTAATAATAATCATCTTGGGACTGCAGAGCTCCAAGAGACCCTATGGATCATCCAGTCCAGCCCCTGTTAAGGAAGCACAATGGGAAATTGAACTCCTAACCTAAATCACTCAGCTATTCAGCAGTTCTTATCTTTCAGATACAGAGGGTAGCAGGAGGAGTATAATATGCTATAAGTAGTTTAGGTTCCAAACCTATCCATGCTTTCAGTAGTTTGGCACAGATGCACAAAACTACCAACTCATAGATTCACTGGAGAAGTTCTGATATGTTGCAGTACAGCTACATTTCCAGCTTGCATCATTCATCAAGACTGCCTGCCTGATGGGAACACTGAGACCGCAGGCACACAGCAGATATGGTATAAGTCAGCACATCATCAGAATCACAAGATTATCCTGGGTAAAAGGAGACACCACGCCTCTTAGGGGCCATTAAACTCATCAATGGAAGATTATATATGCTGTACTGAAGTGGCCAAATGCTCTGATGGACCAGATCCCAAAGGACAAGACTTGGATGGTTTCAAAACAAAACGTGAGGGTGAATGAGACAGATGTCCTCATGCTTCTGACTGATGAGGAAAAGAGCCCTCCTCTGAACTGTGTCATAAACACAGAAGTCCATGCAGTAGAAACGGAGCAACTCAGCCCAAAAGGGTCACTTATCTTGACCCACAACTCCACTTCTAGTTTGTTGCAATGCTCTCCTATGGGTCCCTAATGCACAGGTAAACCTTCACATCTCTACTTCAGCTATTTGGCAGAGCTGTTTCTGAATCTTGAATTATTCAGAAATAATTCTTAATCAAGGGATAATTGTTAATAGGATTGTCCACTATGAGACTACCTTTCAGTGAATGATTTAAATTCTTATGAAGGACGCACAGTGCTATGCTTTAGGTTAGGGTGGGCAAAGTGCAACTGGCAGTGGGGTATCACACTGTTACTTTCCCGTGTTGCCCTCAAGGCCCTTCTGCAACTCCCCCAAAAGACAGCTAATGAAAATGTTGCACCCTCCAGAAACAATAGGGAGCATTTTGTCATTCAAAGGCTCTTTCTGCCCTGCCCAAAATAAAACAAGGGATTTTAGACTTGAAAGTCTGGTTACTTCCTGTTTCTCAACAAGGACTTTTCTAGCATGAAATCAGCTTAAGAATGCAAAGTGGCCTCCCACGGAGGGGAATGCGATTCTTGGAATATAATCTGCATTTTTGAGAGGGTGAAAAACAGTGTTGCTTTTTTCCTGGGGTGGTGCAGCTCATGATATTTCAGGGAGGGCAATAATGACCCCAGACTCTCAAAGGTTGCCCAGCCCATCTTAGAAAATAAAACATTCAATGGCCAAGAACCAGCAGATAGTATAACATCTAAGATTGATGACTGGGCTACGTATGATCTCATTTTCAGAAAACCATCATTCAGATCTGACATACTGGCTCTCACCATCTATACCAGTGATAGCGAATCTTTTTGAACCCAAGTGCCCAAACTTAAAAAAAAAAAAAAAAGGAAACCTCCAACCCAGCAGGCAACAGCAATGGAAGCGGAAGTAGTGGTGGAAAGGGGAATCGAACCTTTTTGACCCCGAGTGCCCAAACTTAAAAAAAAGAAAGAAAGAAACCTCCAACCCAGCGGGCAACAGCAATGGAAGCGGAGGTAGCGGTGGAAAGGGGAATCCCGGGCACAGGGGTGCCTCCAGACTCCACTCCAGATCCCGCTTCAGTTGTACCCCACCCCACCACCGCCTATAGCTTGGCTGGCCCGCTGCTGACAGCACCAGCTGCTCCAGATCCTGGTCCACCACCTGTTGGGGCACTAGCACTGCAGCCTCGTCCTCAGGTTTGGCTAGCAACTTATGCCTCATGTGCCCACAGAGAGGGCTCTAAGTGCCAGCTGTGGCATGCGTGCCATAGGTTCGCCATCACTGACCTATACAGACTGAAACCGTCTTCCTGACATGAATGTCAGTAGAGCAACATCCAAGTGATGTACAAACTTTCAATTTCAGAAAGATGTGAAACACCGACCAGATTACAAGCTTCATGTTGTGCTTTAATAGCTATTTCATTTTAATTTCACTTATATCTTCCACTGCTTGAAGGTCTCAAACCAACTAGCTGCACAATTTTATGACTATCTGCTTGAAAATAATTTAGGGCTCATTCCAGAACAGTACAGTATATAGAGGGCTGCAGATTTAGGTTACTTCTACATAAAACTTTATCTGGTTCAAAAACCTTTTTCCCATATTGCACATGCAATTGTAAGCTAACTAAAAATGTTACTTTTCACAGATCTTGCCTGACTCAGCTCAAAAACTGTAGCTGCTTTGCTGAAACTATTTTTCTTCCAAAGATAATCTCTTATCTCAGATTTTCTTGGGAAGCAAAAACGTTTTGATAGCTGGTTCTCAAAAACTATCTTGCCAAACTCAGAATTTAATACAAGTTTCATGCGGGGGGGATGAAACCTACAAATAATTCAGAAGTCCTGCACTGGGCAAAATTAAGCCCAAGGAATGAAGAAATAGCCAATGTGAGCATATTAAAAGCATAGCTACCAGCAGCTTCTTTGGTGCCCTTCTAACAATGGATGCCTAGTTTAAAAGACTGAGGAAGAGCAGTTATTTAAGGCCCTGGCTTTTCCCCTCTTCTTAAGTCTGGTGGGAAAGCAACATAGCTCCACCATTAACAATTCAAATCCAAATTAACATCCTTTCTAAAGAGATTGGTTTTAGGTGATCTTTCATGTCAGATGCATAATCAGCTCAAAAATTTTGTTCAATAACCACTTAGAGACTGGGCCAGCCAAAGTAGCCAATGCTTTAATTTGTGGGTTTCTAAAATGTGCTTGCATCATTACACATCCAGTAAGAATGCAGCCTGCTAGAAGCACCCCAGAATACAAAGGCTTCTATTATTTCAATCTGCTGCCACCACACTCCCTGTAATGCCGGCATCTGCATTCCATAGTGAATCCCATAGAAACCATTAATAGCTTTCAGCCAAGCGAACAGATGGCCCCCTTTCACCCTTACCAATCGGGGGGGAAAATGATTCCACAAGAGCTTTGCTGGGCAACAGGCTAGACTCTGATAAAACAAAAACAATACTTAGCCCCTGAAAAGTCTGAGAACACAGACAGGTTTAAGTTTTTGTATGTGCTCAAAAAGGCTGAGTAAGAAGCCCAAGTGCAGCTTAGAGTTCAGTATATAAGATCTAGATTTCTCCAGCCCATGAAATCCTCTAGGTAACCTTGAGCCAGTAACTCTCCCCCAACTTGACAACCTCATTGGGTTGTTGCGTAGTTAAAATGGGGAGAAGAAAGGAAAACAGACATCTTCAGCCTTGGGTTCAAAGGAAGAAAAAGAAATGGCAACTAATAATCAAAAATAAGTTTATCAAGAAAAATGTGATACCCAGATCAAGGAAAGTAATAGTACCATACTGTTCTGCTTGGGCTAGACCACACCTGCACCAATATGGGCAGTTTTAAGCATCAGTTGACCAGAATAGTAAAAGGATGGAAATCAAGCCCTGTGAGGAAAGGTTGATGGA